TCCTAAATGTTTCCTCCTCGCTCCCACTATCATGATATGAATTCTACCTAGCAAGTCTGGCTAGACCAGAGGATGGACACTTGTACAGATAGGAACTGGAAATATAGGGAATCCAGGGCGGATGATCCCTTCAGGACCGATGGACTTTGAGTCTCCACTCTGTACTCCCCCTCATTTACAGTGATAAGATTTTTTGTTCTTTGATGCCTGATACCTGATCCCTTCGTCCCCTTTTGGTCACTCAGGCCGGTGTGCTTCTTCCATGTGGCTTCGTTGCCTCTCAGCTAGAATGGCCGCTTGTTTATCTTCAAACCTTTAAGACCCCAGATGCTATATCTTTCGATAGCCAGGTACCATCAGCTTTCTTCACCACATTTGCTTATGCACCCATTTGTTTTCAGAGATCATATCGGGAAGGTGGGCACCCACTGATATGATTTTTTGTTCTTTGATGTCTGATACCTGGTCCCTTCTACACCTCGTGGTCAGACAGGCTGGTGTGCTTCTTCCATGTTGGCTTTGATACTTCTGAGCTAGATGGCTGCTTGTTTATCTACAAGCCTTTAAGATCCCAGACACTATATCTTTAGATAGTCAGGCACCATCAGCTCTCTTCACCATATTTGCTTATGCACTCATTTGTCTTCAGCGATCGTGTTGGGAAGGTGTACATCATGGAATGCCAATTTAATAGAACAACGTGTTCTTGCATTGAGTAAGTACTTGAGTGGAGGTCCAATGTTTTATCTGCTGCCTTAACACTAAACCTATAATATATGCATATAAATCTATTTCCCCACCATCCTACTTAAATATATTTACATATGTACATGCCTGTATTTAGACCTCTATAAATACTCTTTGTCACCTAGTTCTTTCCTCTATTTCCTTTTACTTTAATGTTGTCCCACTATCATGCTCAGCCTTCATTTGGGTTTCAGTAATTTCTCTCAGTTACACTGCCCTTGCTGAATTCCCCACCAGGCTTCTCACACCCTCCTTGCCACTAATTTTGGATCACTTGTTGCTCCCCTGTCCCTGGGTTGGTCAGCACCACCTCCTTACCCCCGTCTCCCCCTCTCCCATGTCCCCCTGGAACCATTGGTCCCATTATTTTCTCCTCCAGACTGTTCATCCAGCCTATCTTATCTAGATAGATCTGTAGAGATAATAATATGCACCCAAAAAACAAGGCATAGCAAGACAGGCGACGGATGAGGACACAGCGATGACAACAAAAAAGAAAACCAGTGACCCATGAAAGAATAAATTAATTAGAAGAAAAAGAAAAATTAAAAAGAAAGAAAGACCTGTAAATAGATGAAGGTCTGATTTTTGATCTCTAGGCGCGTCCTCCAGTCAAGTGCGATGGGGCCACGTTCTGGCCCCAGAGTCTGTCCTTTGCACTCCCTCGGGAGCTCCCTGCTCTGCTCCCCCTGCTGCTCTGCCACACGCCTTTAGTGTTTTGCCTCAGTGTCGCGGGGTCAGTCCGGGCCAGTCTTGACACTGAGTCTCCAGTGTTGTCCCCCGTAGGGCCCTGGGCCGGCGAGGGCTGGCGTGTCTCATAGTGGGATCAGCCATATGGTCCACTCTGCATTGGCTGTTCAGAGCAGGGGTATCGTCCTCCAGGCGCTGTCTTTCTCCCCCTGTGCTTTCTTCCCCCTTCCTCTCCCCACTTGCCCCCCCCTTTTTTAAACTCAGTTTTCCAAACCCTCTGAATTCCATTCATAGATCTCCCTTTAGGAATCTCACTCATGAACTAACCCGTGGCCACACTGCCCCCGTTGAACTGGATTCTTACAGTATGGAGACAGCTCGACGAGCCAGGCTTGTTTTTCCTTCTTGATTAAATAGTCCTGCTTCCTTCAACCGTTCTTTTCCCAAACTGTTTCTAGGACTCTCACAGGCCATCGATACTGGTATTATTAGATCCTATTGTTTTGCTAAGAAGACAGAACTTCAGGGAAGTCATGCATGTTTTCCAGTCTCCTAGCCAGTAAGTGCTAGAACTAGCATCATAATCCAGGCAGCTCGCTCTCGCGGGTAGCTTCTCAAGGTCCAGAAAGAAAGCGAACTTCGGGGAAGCTTTTAGAGGGATGGAAGAATTCTGTTCATTTTGGAGTCTGTTGAATGAACAGGCCCATTCACCAGTGCTGATGGTAGCACACCCTTGGCTGTGTTAAATATGCTGGGTCTCGATGCTGGGTTGTCTCTTAGAAGCACTGGGTGAGTTCTTGAACAATGCCAACATCCGGGCCCACTGGTTCACAGTCGCCTAAGTGTGTTTTACCAAGTTCTCGTAGTAGCTATGGAGCTGAGAATCTCCATAGGTCAGGAGCTTAAATTGAACTCATTCCTCTTTTGGCCAGGACTTTTAAGGAAAATGTGCTTTTGCCCTAAAGACTCTTGATCCTTCTTGGACCCTTGAGAACATCAGGGGTGACCTTATACTCTGCCTGAAAAGTCAAAGCCTGCAGACCCATTTCCTTTGCATTTGGACTGCTCACACCCAGCAGTGTCAGCCCACCTGCTTCTCTCTCTCCACATGCACCTGAGTCATAGGTAAGGCGATTTCAGCTACCCACATGCTCCCCGGCTCTGCTGCCCACATTTTGTCCAGGCAGGGATGGTATCCTTTTCTGCTGTGATGACTCGTACAATACACTCCTACCTTGACAGGACATCCCTCCTGAAAGTAACAGATCATCCCATTTTAAAATATACTGATTTTTAAAATCATGTACTTGAATTTGAACCTTAAAAACAAAACAGAAATTTAACTATCTCAAAGTGCGTGGAAACGCCTTGTTTCAGAACCTTTATAATATTTCACGGCACATTAGATACATACCAGGATTGTGAATCTGGTGCGAAT